ACCGTAATTATTGCGCAATATTTCGGGCCGTAATAACTTACGTAAAATTACGTTAATATATTTCGCTGATGTATAATAAATCAAATTATTTTAGGATTTAGCTATCAGAATTGGATAAAATTTATATCATTTGATTCTTCTTGTTAAGAGAAATCAAATGGTGTAAATTTTATCCAATTCTGATCACACAATTATGAGACAAACCTGATTTGTCATAATATCTCCCTTTGTTATTGCCCAGAGCATAGCAGAGAGTCTTTTAGTTATATAGTAAGTGATACAAAAATTATGTTTTTGATGCATTTCAACCAAAAATAGTGACTTTTTTGATTATCTCTTCCTAAATTTCCCAAACTTTCTTGTATTCAGCTAAGTTTAGCATGTTCAAATTTGTTAATTTAGTATAACAAAATATATATATTTACGCATTTGTGTAATAAGATGATCATTATATAATATGCTCCGGGCTCACAATGCTACACATTTTCCTAGTAATATATAGAATACAATAGCTAAAGATACTATGACGAATCAGGATATCTCATGATCATTCGATTCCTCTCATAGAGGGAATTGAATAGTATAGGTTTTGTCTGATTAAATTCATAGAATCCTGAGGTAATCCTGATTCGTCATAATACTCCCATGGCCAAAATTTTATTTTTTTAAAAATAATTCAACTTTGTGATCCAATGATCTAAGTCGAATGATTTTGGTATCATTTGATAAGCCGAATTAGAAGATGCCAAAATCATTCGATTTTGATCAATGTATTATATAATATGATCGAAAATATTTAACTTCGTCATAATACCTCCTCTCCCTTACATTTTTTTTTGTTTTAGGTATGTAGAAAGTAGAGTGGACTGAAAAATGTGATGTACAAATATGTACTTATTTGGTTATGTTTTATGTATATCATATGGGCATATATGTGTTTTCTAGCTCAACAACTACTAGGTTAAATTCGATAATTTTTATTTTATTTTAATTCTATAAACTTGTAGAATGAAAATAAAAAAAGAATATTGAAATTAATCTGGTAGTTGTCAAGAAATATTCATATAGAATTTTAAAAAAATGTTAAAAGCATCTTAGAAAATCAAGACCGCAATTGTATTGTTTAAAAAAATACAATTGCAGTCTTGTTTTTCTAAGAGGTTTAACATTTTTTTAAAATTTTATACAAATATTTCTCGACATCTAACAGATCAATTTTAATAAATTTTTTCTTATTTTCATTCTACAAGTTTATAGTATTAAAATAAAAAAAAAATTACTGAATTTGACTCAATAGTTATTGAGAAACCATCACTAGAAGTTTTAAAAAAATACGGCGTCATATATGTGACTATATGATATACATAAAACGTGACCACATATGTACATATTTGCACATCACATTTCTCAGTTCACTCTAGTGGAAAGTGATGTTCAATTCGCAGTATTCAATCAAAATCTACATGACTATAAAACGCAAATAAAATTTAGACCTTAGCAATAATATGTGTGTTATGTGCACATATATATATTAAAGTTAAATAATTATATACAATGCCAAGAGAATTAATTACAATTCAAGCAGGACAATGTGAAAATCAAAGTATGTTTCGCTAGATTGTTGGCATGGCATATGAAATAACTTAATAATAAATAACATTTTTGGAATATAAATAGTTGGAATGGAATTTTGGTCCCAACTTTGCGCTGAACATGGTATTAGTAAGGATGGAATACTCGAAGACTTTGCGACAGAGGGGGGGTGATCGAAAAGATGTGTTCTTTTATCAGGTTACAACCATTTTAAAATAAATGTTATTTCTGGCCTTTTGTTATAAAAACATTTGACTTTAATTACCCATATCTATTAATCTTGGATAGGCTGATGACGAACATTACATTCCCAGAGCACTATTATTAAACCTTGAACCTAGAGTATTATTACCGTAAATGTGCATATACAAGATCCCCTGAAATAGTAGACCCACTATGAATCAGACCCGGGTCTATAATACAGGTAAAGATTTTGGTGGA